AGCCAAGGGCTTTTCAGGGTTTCATGGGATATAGCTGAAAACATTCCAAACAAATGAATATTCTATTTTAAAGGAATAATGAGACATTGAGGATTTTTATAGACTCCAAAGTTTGCTAAACCAATATCTCTAATTAGATGGAGAAACTCTCTATAGAGGCTTTGCATCAGCGGCAGTACACATAGCAAATGTTTTAAGCATTTACATATCAAATACTGCTGGCAGCATTTTGGCAGCAGCCCAGAGCTGTAGATAGTTTTAATCACATTTGTTCATTAATCCTTGGTGGAATTCTCTTATATGGTCTCTTTAGGATTTTCATTTAAGCATGCTGCTGCTTCTCAGCAGTGGGCTTATTTATTTATTTTATAAATGCCATCTGAAGCCTTGAATTTACAGAAAATAGGTTGTGGAGTGGCTCAGGAAGCAGATGATGGAGTATATTCTTTTTCTCTCAGTACATCTCCTTTGTACTCAGGCATTTATGTACTCTCACTAGGAAGAGATTTATTCAGCACTGTGACATTTATAAAAGACTTTCACTCTTTTTTGACTGTGTTAGTTCTTTTCTTTTCCATAGGTTGAATTGGAAGCAGTAATTGAAAGTACAGCAAAGATGATTGTATTGCTAATAAAATGTCTTGAGAATCATACAACACTGGCAGAACTGCACTGAGAGTAGCTGCATCCCCTGTGATGACTGATCACTGCCTGGAGCATCCAAATGCAGAAAGCTGATGCTTTGAAATACACAGGTGCAACTTCCCAACCCAGATGGCAGCGCTGGTGTTGGAGCAGAACTCTAATCTCTCAAGTATTCCAGTGAGCTGAGCTGCTAAGGCAATAGTCTTCTTCCATTATCTTGTTCCTCGGTTAAACCTGACTTGAAAGACAAAACAAACCATTTAAGACAACACTGTTGGAAAAGCTGAGGTGTTAACAGTCACCTGGAGCCTTCCACGTGCAGTTGGCCTCTGAAATCATATCTGTTGTTCTCATCTTTATGGCACACTTTACGAATGACTGTTGTTATAGGGATCAGCTTTGCTGAGAAATGCCTGCCATGCTAATATTTGTTCTGTGATGGATAGCAAAGGCTAAATATAACCTTCCCTTTTCTTTGCATTTTTAGATGGCAGAGTTGGATTTTTTTTTCTTAGTACAGCCAGAGTAAGGCTGCTCTGAGCCTCCCCTTGCACTAAATTGCCTTTAGAGAGGGAGGAGGAGTTGGAAGCATCAGTGAGAGGGTCAGGCTGCACATCCAGGGCCTGAAAGCTGAATCCTGCAATGAGAGGGTTTTTTTCTGTATTGTTGTGGTGCATTTGTGCGGTTGATCATCTTGCTGTAAGTGTTCCCTTCAGGAAGAGGTCTATTGCTTTTTTCTGTTGAATCATTCTGCCGTTGTATCCTTTTGTTAAGATACCCATGCACACACGCTCTCCTGCCACAGGTGTCTTGGCAGCAATGGCATCTCCTAGTACTTTACAATACTCTGTTAATTAATATTAAATTAATAATTTATTGAAATCAGTAAGCTTAAACATAATTATGAAAATATATTGAAAAGAAGGTAGCAAAATTCAAGACACAACTCTTCCACTTCCAGGCTCTTGTGTGCACATAGCATGTTTAACCATGAAGTAATATCGTGCTTAACTTTGAATAGATCAGTTTGCCCCAAAATTCCAGTTTTCTCCTCTGGGGACCTTCTAGAAATAGTTTCTTGGCAAAGAGCTGCCACGGTTGCTGTGTGTCTGGACTCTGTAGGGCTGAACCCTGGGAAAGGAAACTGTGGAGATGAGTCAGGCGGGTAAGGAATAGCCGTCACTTCACTGGGACTATTCATGTGTCAGAACTCTAATTTTGACCCTAATCCTGAGCTGAGCCCCAGCCCAGGGGCTCAGCCGTGTCCCCAGGTTGAGCAGTGCTGTGGGTTGAGTCACTGGCAGCCCTGGAGCTGCTTTTGCAGCCTCTGGAGCCCCACTGCCTGCCCAGCCGAGTCCTCCCACCTTCTGGGCTCAGCCCTGCAGGGGCTTGGCTGAGTTTTGCTGGGTGGCATCTCAGCAGGTGGGCACAATGTGCTGCCCCTGTCACCTCTGTCCACCCTTGCTGCAGGAGAGGAGCTGTAGGACCTTAGTGAGGTGACCTCGGCACAGGTCTGGGAGAGATGGGCACCTCCATCCCAACTGGCAGACCTGCCCTTGCTTAACACCAGATCTACATCAGTGAAGTCAAACATGCTTTGTTGCCCCCTCAGTCTTCACTTGTCATCTTCTCATGGAAGCCCTCCTACACGTGCAAGCTTTCTCCACCCTTGGAGTTCACTGGAGGATTAGTTTCCCATTTCTCTCTGTGTGCTACAGACCTGACTCTCAGCCTCTCTACCCTCACACCATCCTCCCTCCGTGCTAATGATACAGGTAACTAATCCTTCTCCCTGGTGCCTCACCCTCTGAGGGAGTTTAATAATAAAAGGCAATAAAAGGGGAAGCTGTGTGGATGCATCTGTCAGCCCCAGCCTTGGGCACCACCTGAGGAAAGGCTTTCTTCTCAGCCTGTATCCGTGCTGTGTTACACACTGGGGAAACTGATAGGAGTGTCATATGTATATTAGTCTATTTTAATCAGTAGCAAGAACTACTCTCCCTATCCCCATGAAACTCTTATTTTCCTTCTTAGGAAGGTTATGTTGCACTTGTTACTTTCTGTTATACCGTGATAGTTAGTAAAAGATTTTATGCCAAATTTATGTTCAGTGAATTATCCCTGAAACTTGTGGAGCTATAGCAGAATTTAATTTGGCAGTGTGGAGTTGATGTTGCTCCCAGTGATGTCTTCAGCTGAAAATCTCAGCTTTCAATTGCCTTACTTAGAGAAAAATAGGCCCATGTCTCTAGTCATTCTCAGAAGGAGTGCCAGAGGCACTGCCATGGCACAGAGACTCCACTGCCGCTGTATATGAAGAAGTGTGGCAGCAGTCGGTGCCAGAGGCATTTAGGAAATCTACCCCTGAAGGCAAAGTTTTCTGAAAGGTGAGGAGTATTTTAACAAATATATTAACATCTATGGCACGCTCAGTACCTTTGATATTCTTTTTAATGTCTTGCAGTGGAGTAATTCAGAGGTGATGTGCAGCATCCTCCTGATACTGGGGGCAGAAGAAGCAGTTTGAATGAAAGCTTAATAGAAATTCAGTGTGCTGTCATGCTGAGCATGGAATTGGTTGACTGCATAAATCTAAATGTCAAATATCTATAAAGTTTTACCAAATGGAAATATGATGTTTTAGTACCATGTGGTCAACACATAAAAATAAGCACATTAATTGACAAGGAGTAAAACTCTGTATAAGTTCTATTAAAAAAAAAAAAAAACTCAAAGTAGGACCAAGATACCACCAATGTTTTCAATAAGAGGAAAATGTCAATTATGGATTACTTTGAGAGCTAAATATCATTTAGGCATTTAAAAGGATTATCTAAAAACTGAGAAGCATTGAGAAGTTTCTATGGCAGACCCAAGTCGCAGTACATTTGGTAGAGCACTGCTGAACAGCAAAATATAGCTTGGTGAGCAATCTAGAAATGATGATGTTTTATTGAGTGGTGTGGATTGTTACTTTGGTTGATTTGATTTTTATCCTGTAAGGAAATTAAAGCTCAAGCACTTCCAAAGTTGGTTATATTTCTAGAGATCATCTTTGCGTGCCAGCTTTTGCCCAGAAACTCATCCGAAGATGTCAGCCATTGAAACCATTTCATGTGGAAGCATTGCTAAGTAAATTCACTAAATGCCTATTCATCCCAGTAAGATGGAGAGTCACTGGAGCAGCAAATGTGAAAATCTGCACAGCTTACTACACAGAAAGCAGTTTTCTGAGGTTGCCAAATTGAGAGGCAGAGTCTGACCCTGGGAGGTATTACAGCTCACATGAGTGAGCATAGGAGGAGGGTCTCGGGCTCCTACAGCCTGGTCTGTCAAGCTGGTTGATAGATAATTCATTTGGTCTAGATAAAATCAATGAGACTATAAAAATAGTTTACTTGGCTGATAACATTTCCAAGTTGTTGGAGGCTGACCTGAGAAGTTAAATGCATTTTGTGCAGGATTTTGGTTTAACTTGGTTTTCTCTGCCTTATAATAATGAAATGTTTTCAAGATACAGTACTATTGACAACTGTTTTATCTTGAGTTTTTCTGCCATCAGCTTCATTACAGACCATTGCTTAAATGGTGTTGTACCTATAAGGTTGTGGTTTTGAATGCAACTCAAGAGATTAGGATCATTTTAATGTGATTTATTCAGTTTTCTTAAATATGCTGACCTAGATAAATAGAGAACATTTTTGCTCCATTGTTAAAGAAATAACAGACCACAAAAGCTGTCAAGCGTAAACACATTCTTGGACATGTCAGCTGAAATTTTGAAAATACTGGTGTCAGATTGCCTGTCATGCTAATTGGAATTAACCTCCTAAATTCCTTTGTTCCTATTAATTCTATTGGCATTTTGACATCAAAATTCTCTGCTTTGTGCATTCCAACCTTGGCCTCTTCTCTATTACAAGGATGAAAACAAATAAAATGCCAATAGATACTTAACCAAATTCCCTAGGAAATATCTAGCAAAGCGTGTAAAATGGGGCTATCAATGCAGTCATCTCACAGCTGGACTTCCATACTTAAAAAGTGTTGAGTAGTATTACTTAATACCTACTCTGTTACAGTGCTCAAAATACTTGCCAAGAGTTGATAAGAAATTTGTTAAGATGTAATAAAGTTGTGGTTCCTTCTAAGTACATTTTACTGAGTAGAGGGAGCAGCAGGATGGAAGTTTTAGCAGGTTTTAGCAAGTTTAGCAGCAGGATGGAAATGTTTTCAGAAACCACCTCCTTCAGTCTGCGGCTGGACCCCAAATGAGAACAACAAGTTTATAAATTGTTCCAGACATGGGGGTTTTCACAGTGTAATTTGTGCACCCTTTGTTCTTTCTCTTGCAGGACAAATGATCAGCTCGTAGCATTCCTGTCCAGATACCGCGATATGAACTTCTTGAAATCCCATGGGAGGGACAATGCAAGGTATGCTGGCCCTTCCTTCACCTTATTTTAACCATAACACTCAGGATTTTTGCACAGTGATGGTTTTCCAGTGTTACCCAAGTGAAGAAATCCCTGGTCCAAGCGAATGAGGAGGAAACCCTCTTCTGAGGACAGGTTTTTATCGATCCACAATAACTCCTTCCCAGAGTCAGTTTGTAAATATGCTTTTATGGGGAGAGTGATGCTTGTGTTGTCCTTGGGGCTTGGCACAGATTGATGTTTTGTGAGCTAGCAGTCGTTGCCTGCACAGCAGCACTGCCCAGTTGGTCCCAGTCACCCTGGTGACCAAGACCTGTGCTAGCTGGGGTCTGCAGCAAAGCCTTGTGCAAGCAGAGCCCCAGCTGTGGGAACCTGTAGCAGCCTGCACATACTGGTAAGAGTGAGGATGGTGACTGGAGCATATCACACTCTACTAAAGTTTTGAGATCCTTGAATTAAACTCCATCTTCATCCACTCCTGAACAAGTCTCAGGGAGAAGAGAGTGTGCTGTGTTTTCTCACTGACCATTGTGGTTTGAGGGAGCAGCAGTGACCAAACACCATGTTCCAAAGATTTAAACAACCTGTGCAGATCAAAGAATTTTCCTATCTGTCTGCAGTGGTCCTCTTTTCCTATTTATTGATAGTTTTGCTTTTCCTCTGTATTGCTAGTTCTGTACCTGTGCCAGCAGTTTTGTAACAGTTCTAGCAGCTACATATGCTGAGTCCCAGTGGCTTTGCGTCTAAAAATATTGTTTTATTCTGCTTGGGTCACCAGGTCTTGCCTTTATCCTATAAAATGTCAAGTGTGCTATAAGGCTGGGTTTAGTTAGAGGACACAGATAATGTGACACACCAAGTCTCATGTTCAGCACAGTGGGTGGGCAGAACAATGCACAGGTCTCTCTCCTTCATGGCTGTTCTTGCTCTTGTCACCAGATTTATCAATTCTGTCATGTTGCTGTTTAAATTAAGTCTTCACGAGCATTCATCTTGTGCAGTCAGAAATTCTATAGCAGGTAGTAAAAAATAATACTGTGAGGAATAATATTTAAATCCAAGTCAACAGTTTTCACAGGAGAGTCCCTTGTTGGGGAAATGCAGAGTGTCAGAGTGGTTGGCAGACTCAGCTCTATCTGGCAATAGTGATGGACAGCAGAGTTAGCTTAGAAAAGGGGAGGGAAAGAGCCAGGGAAAGCAGTCAGTCTCTGCCTCCTTGCTCCTCTGGTGCACCTGAGTCTTCTCAAATTCCCTGAACTGGCTAAGGAAAATAGCTAATGAATTATGACATGCCGGCATTAAACTGGTTTAAATATGCCAACTTCAGCTGGATCAGAACTATTTAGATCAATTAAACACACTAATCTGATGTTAATTTAATAATAAAATGAGCTAATGTGCCACTTGTCCTCCCCTCACAGGAATAACAACCCACTTAGTAGTTCAATGGTTCTCTTTGTATAACAACCAAATACCTTTAAACCTATTGCAACAAGTCACCATGTGTTTTTTTTCTTCTGTATTTCTACCATAAATTCCCTGTGCATCAAGGAACATGATTTGAACTGCAGATTTGCCGACCCTGTCTGCTATGGTTGTCTAGTCCCTGAGTCCCCTAAGCGCTCCCACTGCTGACCACTGGATGAATAGATCCTTTCACATCGCCCCTTGGCTTCTCCCCAGTTTTTCTATCAGAGAGATAGAGTGGCTCCCCTTCTCCTGCAAAGCCCAGGCAGCTGTAGAGACACAGTCAAAACAGCAGCTGTGAATCTTCTGAGTAATGCTAGTGTTTGGTTAAAATTCCATTGTTTCCAAAAGCTGATCAATGAGCAGTTACCCCCTGTTTGTATTGTGGGTGAATTTCCAGCTCTACATCTACCTGTTGAGAGAGAAATTCTATCTGAAATGAAGATCTCTAGCCTGATATTTCATTTTTAGTGTTTCATTAACTTAGTCTTGTCTAAACTGGTAAGTGTACCCTCTGCTCTGTCCATTTGACACACAGCTCCCAACTGACTTTGGTTGTATGCCCAAGGGGTGTAAGTTGTCGTCATTCCAGCGAGGGTTATCCCTGTTGGAATGAAGAAGTCCTCTGGGCTGAAATACCTGCACAGGCAGGTGTGAGGAGAGCAAAGGCCCATCCAGGGTGTCACCCATGTCTGGCTGCCTACAGCCCATGTCCCCAGAGGAGCAGGAGGGATGGGTAGTGGTGCTGCCTTACAATATTCTCCCAGCCTCTTGTGACCTTTGCCTGGGGAATTTCCACAGCCAAACTTGGTGACTTGCTCATTTAAGAGTAAGGATGACTATTTTTTTCTATTCATTTTTCCAGTTACTTTTTAAATTTTGCTCTGTGCTCGGTCATCTCACAGCCCAGGGGAAAAGAAATACCCCATGAGGCAAATGATAAGGCCAAGAACTTAGTAAGGTCTAGAAGAGAAGCAACAGCCTCGAGGTTTGGCAACAAAAAATAATAAATAAAAAAAAAAGACCAGCTTTTGGAAAGGATTTAGAACACAGACCAGTTTTCATGTTATTAGGCAATAGCAAAAGCTCCTTTGGGATATCCTATCTCAAAACAGACTGGAGCAGAATTTTTTATTTAAACCAGCTAATTAAAGCCATGATAAGGGAGAGGGCACTGGACTATACTGACTGCTCCCCCATGTACAATAATGATTTGGCTTGTCCAAGGTGTTTTTGTCAAAACATGTGAACTAATAATACAGAAGCTCAGCATCTAAATATCGTGGAAAGCAATGTATAAGCCCTGCTGGTAATTTTAATTTTAATTTGTGAATGAATAATGGCTCCTAGGCAATAAGCTTTTCAATTGCCTAAGTCTGCTTTTTAAACAACTGGAAACTCTGAGTTTTAAGTCATCATAGTCTTTGGATCATATAATGGAGAGAGAAAGATTGGAAGTGCCATCTTAAAACTGAAATGCTTATACAACTCGATTACAATGTACTTTGTATTCAAGCCATGTTCACAATCAGTACATGTTTTACTGCCAAATAAGGAGAAAAGCCAGGCTCCCCTTTATAGAGTGAAGTTTTCTTTTAGTTATGCCAAAGTCATTAGGAAGTGCATCGCTCTGATTTTCCTTTAGTGGCTTCACTAAAGGGAATGGACATGAAAATGGCTCCTACACTCAGCTGGAGAAGTGTTATTTCCTGAGAGTGGTGGACCTATGAGATGAAATTGCATACAGTGGCTGGAGTTGTTACATAGTACTTATTGGGCAACACTTACATTTTCTCCTCTTTTCAGTGTCTCAGACTAATAAAAGCAAGTGAATAACCTGGTAGGTGTATAAGCTATTGCAGTTTGGAATATGCAGAAGATTTTTATTTTTTTTGACGGGAGCAGCACCTGGCTGATGTATTATAAAATATAAAGACAGTCAAATGTGACATCTTCGATGACAGGCAGGAAAAAAGGTTTTTTTATAGAAATCTTACCACAGTAATCATTTGGGAAACAGTGTAAACATGCTGTGAAGGCTGGATGCTGTTAGATCTTAGAGGAATCCTGAGCTCATAGGCAAAATACAAACAGCTAAAGAAAAGGCCATTAAAAGCTTTTTATGTATCTGAGTTCTTTTCTTGTGCTGGTTTTTTCTCCTCATTAATGCTATTCTTTGCAGTTGTGTTGTCTCCTTTCTCACTCCTGTGTTCCAGATAATTTTATGAGTATTGGTGAACTCTACTAAAGGGCATCCCAATGCCATCCCAGTTCTCAGAGGCTGGAGAGACCTTAACTACCAAAGGGCCGGACCACTTTCCCAAACTCTCCACCTGGTTCAACCCAGTTCTGCTGATAAATACCTGTTTAACCAACCTTTCAGACACACCTTTTTTCCCCAATGGCACACACTGTTTGTTGGTGTTCTGTACACTGGGTTGATGGTGAGTTGGTGGTTGGTTAGAAAATGAATCACACAGTAATTGCTGTTGTGTGTTGCATTGATGAATTGCCAAGTAAGTACCCAAATAATAGGGAAAAAGATTGAGTAATTATCCCTGGTGTTGGAATAGTTTAACCACTTAGGTTCTAGCAGCATTTACGCTGCTGCTCATGTGAAATATTTGGTGGTTCATTTGGCACAAATTACCCTCAGCCATACTTTTTTTTTTTGCTAATTTTTTTAAAACACTTTGAGCACATGGACTGAGATCTATTTTTTGCTTGGAAGTAGTTCAGCCCAACAGTTGCATGAGAAATGTAGCGACTGAAATAGCAACATGCATCTTCTCTGCAAAGAGACTGCACTTAAAAAATTTAGACATTACAGCTAACTTTGAAATGTCCCTCAGTGCTTTATGATAAGCATTAAGGGAGCCATAAAGCCTTTACTGCTTCGGCTTGTCAATTTGCTTCCTTGTAGGCCTTTTACTTCTGCTCAGTTTTGGAAAACAGTGCTCTAGGTTGTCAGTGCAAAGAAAAACAAAACCAGCCATATGTCTTGATGTGGGACTAAGCAGGATGTTCTTTGTTCTTAGAGTATCCAAGCAAGATCATCCACTAGTTCAGGAAGGTGCAGTAAGTGAGAAGGTTTGAAGTGACCATGCTTTATGGGGCTGGAACAGAATTAGGAAGAAAATTGAGGTACTGATAAAGCAATCAGAAATCTTATTGTTATCTAGGGACGTTGAGCTGCACAGTTTATTTTCAGCTGTATGAATGCTAACTTTTGTACCCTGTCATCTGAGGTCCTGAGACTTCATGAGATGATTGTGGCAGGGAACATCCTTTTAGGCTGGAACAGATGTTGTTCGCCCTCATGTACCCACAGGTCAGAAGGCTGATTTGGTACCTTGAAATCTGTACAGAAGAGACTCCCACTTGCTCTCAACCATTTGGAAATCTGGAATATTTGAAACCCCATTTCCTTTTCCTTCTTCAGTGTCCATCATGCAGATCCTGAGATGTTAAGCACAGCAGAACCCTTGGTGAGATGCTGTTGTGGTGGCCACCCAGGTGTCCCTTTGCAGTGC